TTAGTTTTACGCCGCTTTTAGCGATATTCCAGCAATATTACGGTTGGAAATGGGCTTCACATTTGTACACATGTGGGGAATCTTTGGCGAGACGAGCGAACGCTTTAACCACTAGGCTACCCCACCGCCCCCACAATGTGAGGAAGGGAGGGTGTGTATAGCATGTTCTGTTTATCACTCAAAACGAAATGAGGGGGTGGGGGTGCATAACTTGTACGCTATATTACATGTACATCAATCAGAACGATGGAAGGGAAGGGGCTGTATATCGCAAGTGTTATACATCACTGAGATGGATATAGGCAGGAGGGGTTGTATCGGATATACCGTATCATATATACCTCAAAATCATAACACGTGTATCTTCGTAGCAGCTAAGAATCTGTATCGTAAATAAATGATGCAATTGATGCAAGGTCAAGGGTTTCCTGTGCAAACTTAAATTAATAGATATGAGGAGGAAGAGTGATATATGACAGCTCATTATACATGCGCCAGTAACCTTTGTGACATGCGTGGTTACGTCGTAGTGTTTCAGGAAGCAAACAACTTCAATCCAAACGCTTAGCATTATTCGGAATATACTTACCTACAAACATGTAGATAAAGTATGTTCCCGAATAATACCGCAATAGGTCTACTGAAGATTAGCATGGAACCAAGTCGATATTGTATATATAGAGCCTTAACCTATGATGATCTCTAGACAGTCCAGTGTGTACATCAACGTTGGTCACAGGTGAGTGAGTGAGTAAATATTCCTGACGGAAGCTGGACAGTATGACATAAATGTAATATTCCTGATGGAGGTAGGAAAGTATAACGTCAATGTAACATTCCCAATGGGAGCTGGATAGTATAACTTCAATGTAATACTACTAACGGAAGGCCGATAGTGTGACTTCAATGTAATATTGCTGACGGAAACTGGACTGTATGACTTCAATGTAATATTACTTACGGAAGGTGGACAGTATAACTTCAATGTAATATTACTGACGGAAACTGGACAGTATAACCTCAATGTAATATTACTGACGGAAACTGGACAGTATAACTTCAATGTAATATTGCTTACGGAAGGGGGACAGTATAACTTCAATGTCATATTACTGACTGAAGGTGGACAGTATCACTTCAATGTAATATTACTGACGGAAGGTGGATAGTATAACCTCAATGTAATATTACTGACGGAAGGTGGATAGTATAACTTTAGTGTGATATTACTGACGGAGGGTGGACAGTATCACTTCAATGTCATATTACTGACTGAAGGTGGACAGTATCACTGCAATTAATAATACTGACGGAGGGTGGACTCTGTGACTTCAATGTAATATTACTGACGGAAGGTGGATAGTGTGACTTCAATGTAATATAACTTCCGGAAGGTGGATAGTATGACTTCAATGTAATATTACTGACGCAAACTGGACAGTATGACTTCAATGTAATATTACTGACGGAAGGTGGATACTGTGACTTCAATGTAATATTACTGACGGAAGGTGGATAGTATGACTTCAATGTAATATTACTGACGCAAACTGGACAGTATGACTTCAATGTAATATTACTGACGGAAGGTGGATACTGTGACTTCAATGTAATATTACTGACGGAAGGTGGATAGTATGACTTCAATGTAATATTACTGACGCAAACTGGACAGTATGACTTCAATGTAATATTACTGACGGAAGGTGGATAGTGTGACTTCAATGTAATATTGCTGACGGAAGGTGGATAGTGTGACTTCAATGTAATATTACTGACGGAGGGTGGATAGTGTAACTTCAATGTAATATTACTGACGGAAGGTGGATAGTGTGACTTCAATGTAATATTGCTGACGGAAGGTGGAAAGTGTGACTTCAATGTAATATTACTGACGCAAACTGGACAGTATGTCATAAATGTAACATTCCGAATTAGGGCAGGAAAGTATGTCATCAATGTAACATCACTGGTGGATATTGAACAGTATAACAGTGTGACTTCAAAGCAATATTACCGATGAAAGAAAGTGTAGTCGCAATGGTAACAGATAAATGGTAGGAACAAATAGAATATATGCATTCCTTTAACAAAAACATAATTATTATTACAACGGGATTACAGATTACAGACTGTTCACAACAAGCTTGTTGCATACTACTAGTATATTAAAAGTAACACAAAACGAATCTTGAAAATATTGTAATGTACAGAAAGCCTAAAAATCGTCAAAAAGTAATTTAAATGAAAACATCATGATTCAACAACTTTGGCAAACATGAGGCAATGTGCTAATGTCTGGTGCTCTTGGATTACGTTTTTAAAACACTAGAGTTAATATTGTTGAAAAGTGTTTTGACTGTGACTTCACAAACATTGTGTACATGTTGTCACAGATATCGTATATATTGTTGTCCGTTTGTTATCATGAAAATCATGATTTTGTTGAATCGCACGTGCATGATATGCACCTGTGTGTACTTTCTCTTGCGCGTGAGTTAACATTAACATTTTGTCACTACGAACACTAAACAGATAACACATGTTTATCTAGATACGGTTAAGATCTTTCTGTAAGCAATGCAGTGTATCTGACTAATACACGTAGAGCTGTACAAATTTAGTATGTACAGTCCTTTGTAATAATGACAAAAAACAATGACAAACTGAATTGGAAAAAACTTTTACAATGACAGAAAGGTTATTTTAGCTTTAAAATGCCCTGGATAATGTCAAACAATCCTCTTCCACAACGCTTAAACGTGTGTTACCAATTCTTCCGCTTTTTAGGCTTTCGCTTCTATCGGTTCAAATCCTTGATTGATGATGCCACCTGTCAAGTCATCTGCCTCCACGTCATGGGGCGGCTTCATCTCAACACCGTTGTCATCGACTGGCTGGATCTTTTCTGGTAGCTCGTCAGCTCTTTCATACATCTGATTCCTCTGGTACTGGAAGTTAAAAGAAATGTCTTTATATTATACTGAAGTGTGAAAGACTGAGATTTCCGACTTTGAGAAGTAATACTTTCACTGCTTTGACAGAAATGTGATGTATTCACTTAGGTGAAATATTTTTGCTTTGCCCGAACTTCTTCATGGCTCAACAAAGGTTTCTGTCCAGGATCTTATCACACGACACAATGAGTGACAATGTAAACATATGCTTTTCGACCCGTGAAGATCCGGGATAGAATAGGTCTTCAGCAACCCATATATGCTTGCTACAAAAGGCGACTATGCTTGTCGTAAGAGGCGACTAACGGGATCGGGTGGTCAGGCTCGCTGACTTGGTTGACACATGGCATCGGTTCCCAATTGCGCAGATCGATGCTCATGCTGTTGATCACTGGATTGTCTGGTCCAGACTCGATTATTTACAGACCGCCGCCATATAGCTGGAATATTGCTGAGTGCGGCGTAAAACTAAACTCACTCACTCACATATGCATTTCACCAAATGCATTTGGTCAGCAAGCATGGGCATCGGATGACCAGTCCCCAGCAAAGAGAGCTTGCAACATCAGCAGATTGGCATTGAGACCATTGGCACTGAGACTGTGAGCGACTGTCCCTCATTGTGTGGAGTCCTCGCTTCGCGCGAGCTTAACTCTCTATCGATCACTTAAGTTAAATTTGGCAAACTGACATTTTATGTACAAGTGACTTTATATCATTCGATTGGCAAATGTCATGACATGTATTTATGCTTATTGAGACTGTATATAGTTTATTTTTGTACTTTAATCGAGCTCTTCTCTATCTCACGGCTCACCATGTTTGTCAGTGTATTTGTGCGCCAGCATGGAGTTTTGACCAAAAGAATCTTTGACATTATTATCAGTATTGATCTTGTTCATATGATAACAATAAAAGGATAGCAGCACAAATATGTGTCGGTTGAATTTTCGAAGACCAAACGTTGTCATCTCTGTGCTCCTGATCAGGGATATGAACAGTCCTTAGATTAGAGTTTGGAGAATTTTGATTTCGTTGATGGAAATAATAGTTTATCGAGTTTAAGTTGTCGTTTCTTTTCTCAGAAAGGGCAACCAAATACGTCGAGAACATCCAGCATGTCAAGATGCAACGGCCTGTCTTTGGGAACATCCAACCTCTCATCAGCATCATCATTACTGATGTGATTAACACCAAACAGTGTTTTAAGCCAACACATTGTGGAACGTTTTATGAAACTGGCCAGCATACAGTGAGTGGGTTTGTGAGTGAGTGAATGAGGATAACTTGGAGGATAAATAAAGAATATATACAGGCGTCTTTATAATAATTGAACAGCTCTTCCGACTCTCTGGATAATGTAGAGTGAGTGAATGAGTTTAGTTTTACGCCGCACTCAGCAATATTCTAGCTATATGGCGGCGGTCTGTAAATAATCGAGTCTCGATCACACATTCCAGAGATCAACATCATGACCATCAATGTATACAACTGATATACAATGACACGTGTCAACCAATTAGGCGAGCCTGACCGCCCGATCCCGTCAGTCCAGTTCTAATCCGGATCTTCACGGAGCATACAGATAGCAGATGAAAAAGTGATGACATAAATGCTCCTGGGGTATTGTGCAGGATGCTGAAGTACGCCCACAGAGGCGGCGTGGCTTTTTGGTGTCTTGTGGCTTTAAACTGTTTCACATTGCAAATAATATGGTATTTTAACATATGTAAGTAATACTTTTCAATAAAACGTTTTACATATAATGGACTTTTTTATGTCTGGACTTGTTGCTATTTCGCTGAAGTGATCCCGATGCAACGTTGAATTAGAACTCTCTCCAATAGGCATTTTTAGTAGATGTGTTCGTCTTTGGGTGTAGAGTGTCATTAAATCCTCGTGTCCAAGGAATGATCTTGCTCATGTGCGTACGTTAAACACCTAACTGAATGACTGAATGCACGATGGTATTAAATTTGGTATGGTGTGACCTACCCTATTGTGATTCACGCCACATCTGAGAGATCGGAGCATCATCTCCAACATACAGGGGAAGAGGCGGTCAAACAGAGGGCAGATCAGGCGAGGGCCAATACTGTCCGGGCGTCGCAACCCTTAAACATAGGAATAGTGATAAACGTCTGATGACACTAATTACAGCAAATGTCGACATGTTTAACACATTCAATATATTTGATAAGCAATAGTTTTAGTAGCAGACCAGTGATGAGGCTGATGAACATTCCCACGATGACGAGCGCTGCCATCGCCGTCGGCGTGTAGAAGAGATAGGACTGCTTGTACATCGGTATGAACGGATCGCTAGAAGTAGGAATACATCGGTATGAACGGATCGCTAGAAGTAGGAATACATCGGTATGAACGGATCGCTAGAAGTAGAAATACATCAGTGTGAACAGATAGCTGGAAAGAAAGGAATACATCGGTATGAACTGATTGCTGGAAAGTAGGAATATATCTGTATGAACAGATAGCTGGAAAGAAAGGAATACATCGGTATGAACTGATTGCTGGAAAGTAGGAGTACATCGCTATGAACTGAACACTGAAAGAAGGAATACATCAGTCTGAATTGACTGCTGGAAAGTAGGAGTACATTGCTATGAACTGAACACTGAAAGAAAGAGTACATCAGTCTGAATTGACTGGTGGAAAGTAGGAGTACATCGCTATGAACTGAACACTGAAAGAAGGAATACATCAGTCTGAATTGAACATTGAAAACTTGGAATAAATCGGTATGAACTGAAGAAAATAAAAATGTAAAATCATGATATGTGTTGTACCTTGACGCTGCAACAGTAGTCATCTCGCCATTGTAGACATCTGTGTCGTTGTGACGGACCAGTTGCAGCAGTGAGTAAAGACAGGGGGCAGTTTGGCAGTGGAAACCTTACTGACAAATGCACCAAATCCAATCCAGCTCATGAAAGCTAAGGAGGTCACAATACCAACAAGAGCTCCCTAAAATGTGTGAATATGGCCCATTCTTAGCGTTTAAACACATAATTTAACTATAATGTCTATGCGCATCTTTATAACTATAGTCTTGAAAAAGAACCTTGCTCCTCACAATCCCATACAACAAGTTAGCTTCCATTTTATTACAACAAACTCATTTAAGAATAGATACATCATTCTTCTCGTAAACAATGAATGTCAGATTTAACTAAATTTATTATTTGACACTATATATGAATAATATTCATTTTAATGTGCTGTTATACTTTCTATATTCGTTTCTAACTTTTGATATAGTTTTTACATGCATATATACACAGAGTAAACGGGGTTGTGTAAAACACTGAGCTGTATAAAGGAAGTAAGAAACTATTTACTTCAAAATTAACATAAGTGTTATTATCTTTTCATTTTACAACAAATGATGCCTTACCGAACTTAAGTCACACTTTATCGATTGATACTAAATAGTAATAAAATAATTCAATGACAATTGTATCAAAATAAGCTTAATTACGATCTGGATATTTATGTTATTTATGTGCCAGGAGGTAGAAGTGCCAAAGCTCTTTTGGCTTTCGTCTCACACAAGGGACCCGTCCAACAGAGCGGTCGTATCGCTACGAGTCTCGGAAGTTCATGCTAATGTGGGGAAGTTGCGAACGCAAAAGGGCTAAGATAGTTTCGTGGAACAAAACCCAGAATTACACGAGATAACACTGCACGATAAGTTAAGGTCCTCCATATGGAGTCAGCTTGTGGCAACACTTACCCATGCGTTTGCCCAAGGGAAGAACATGCCCAGAATAAACAACCCGAACAACGGTCCATTGAGAATGCTGTACACGCTGTAGGAAGACTGGGTATAAACAAGTATATTAGACAGCCATTGGAGTTTTCTATACCATGTGTTTTTATCGAGAGTTACGTTTGTTTGAAAATTGTTTGAACTGGAATGAATAATAACTGCCTCACGCAACACCAAAACTCTTTCAGACATTATCGTGAGGTGAGGTGAAATTGGGTTTAACGTCGTGCTTGAGAATATTTCGCTCCTATAACGTGTCAGACGTTATCGATAGTCTCATATCACACTCAAGCAACTGATACGTATACTACTCTTCATATCAAAATACACGTGTACAACATACTCTTAGTTTCTTTTTTGTCAGCTTCTTATTCAATACTGATTAATGATGCAATTCTAATAACACATAATTTCATTTCGTGAAAGGTGCTACCAGGAAGGCAGGACATGCTTATGCCTTTCACGAACACTGAAATCACCTTTGATTTCCCCAATCATGTTAGATTTTTAGCCAAATGAATTTTCGTCGGACATTCGGGACTGGTTATTTTCTGGTGTTCATGTTTTAACTGTGTGGAAGTGACGTGTGCATACTATAGAATAATCTTCTTGAGCAGTGGATTATTTTGTATTATGATCTAATATGTTATTGTTGTATCCCATGTCAGAAACACAGGGAAACATTGGTAATTCACCATCGTTACCAGTTTCAGGAGAGGTTTAGTAGGACATCAACATGTGTGGAGGCTTCTTAGTTCACGTCACTTAGTAATATTACACTGCAAGGTTTATCATGATGGCAGGTCTGTGGTCAAACCGAAGTCGACGGTCGAACAGTGACACACATCAGATCCTCATGTTAGCCAGGTATTGTCAGTGGTACCCGGCTTTTATACATTGCAACATGTCTCTTCACCTGGCTTTCGGTCGATGCTCAGGCACCGGTTTGCTTACCCAGAACCGATTGGAAACGAAAGCCTTTGGATTCATACCAGTTAAAAAACAAGCATGGTGGAGTGGGGATCAGTTCTGACCTTTGAGTTTCCAGAATGTTTTGGGGCATTTTTTTAGCGAAATGGGAAGAGAGAGATTTTTGTATATTCTTTGCGGTCTCTGTCTTATAACAAATAAATATTTCGTTACACTAACACTTCCCACATCAAGTTAAAATTGGCACAAACTTGTGTAAAGTTACCAGCAACACAGACCCAAGTTGAGACACGAGGAAGGCGAGGCCGATAAAAGCTTTCCCAAATATGAAAACCACAAAATACATTAGGAAATGCTAGACACTGTACATACAGATCCATGTGGTAATTTACACACTTTCTGTATTACAAGTAAACTTGTTATTGTAAAATGTTAATATGTTTAGTAAGATACAGTTAGTAACTGAATGTTAGTTTTTGTGCCGCAGTCAGAAATGTTTCAACCAAGTCAATGGACTGAGGGAATGGGTCCGGAAATCAACGCGTGAGGATTCGAACCTGGGATTTCAGCGTGACATGTCAACGCTTCGATCACTTATGATAATAACTTGGTCAGTTGTTTAAACCCATCTGAAACACACGTTCAAGATCCTGTCGTCCCTCGTCTGTCCACTGGGGTATGTTTCCTCACCTCGAGGAAGGGCCTTTGAAGTGTCCTGGTGTTGTGCGTGAGATTACACTTCATGCGGAGTTTTATGATAATAAATTGTGGCTTAAGAAACTATATCAATGTATATGGTCTCTTTTTTTACTACATATATTCCAACCATGAATGTGAATGTGCACACAGAAACGGCTTTAAAGCACATTAGGGATATACGGGATTCGTAAAGACAACAAGGATTCGTAAAGAGGAAAATATACATTTTCTGCTTACCTATAACCTTTGAAAGAATGGTGATGGACATATCAGAAAGGTTCGGGCAGCAGTACGGCTTGATGATGTCGCAAGAGATGGTGGCTGCCAGGGCGTTCAAGGAGGATGATATGGTGTTGAGGAAGGGTAGAAGAAGATGTAAATGAACATGGAAGAAATGTGGTAATTGTGTGCACTGAAGTTTCATTATTCAATAATTCTGTTGAAACACCCCAGTCCAGTCAATTCAAATTAGGTACTATTTCTTTGGCCGGTCATATGGGGACCAGCTGCTTCAGCGGTCAGCAGAGGATGGCTAGATGGTCACTGAAGTATGTCAGTGAGGATGTGTGATGCTAGAAGTCTTCTTAGAGCCTGCCTTTGAATTGACTAGGAGCTGACAGTAGTATGCTTTGTGTCTGTGGACAGCTGACACAAGGTATATGCAGTTAGTCTGATTTACGTTTGGATACATCTCCCGATCTTGTACGATGGGTGGCAGAAAAGTTGAGAACCTAGCTATAGTGATTGTATGGGTGGAGTTGGTTGTTCATGATTCTTTAACATAATCTTCCTCATCTTTAACCACCTACGAATCTCTCTTCCCATTTTCATTTCCACTGTACATGTATTAAATATGGCAACCGAAGGAGCAGCATTCCATTAGAGTTGACACAATGGTTGTTGTAGACACTGTTCCATGACATTGTCCTGTTACATCAAGACTGACTGACTGACTGAGTTTAGTTTTACGCCGCTTTTAGCAATATTCCAGCAATATCACGGCGGGGGACACCGGAAATGGGCTTAACACATTGTGCCCATGTGGGGAATCGAACCCGGGTCTTCGGCGCGACGAGCCAACGCTTTAACCACTAGGCTACCCCACCGCCCCATTACATCAAGAGAAATACCTAGCTAACCATGTTTATGCCTTCGGACATATGCTGCTTGGTTGTATATATGATTCAAATGCAGCCTTTAAGCATAGAAAGTGCATGCTTTAAGGGTTTAATACTCATCTTTTGTAGATAACCGCAGATGTGCTCATCGTATGTGTACATTATTGTAATACAAATGCAATTGAATCATCAGTCATTCCACGGATCTGGAATATTTGTAATGGTTCCCTTATTTGTAATAGTTCTCTTATTTAACTTTAGAAGGGTAGGATATCCAACGTGGCATACCAGGCTATGTTCATTTACTGTGGAAACACTATGTTTATCAAATTCTCTATGTAAAGAGTGTAAATACACAGTAGTTAAACAGGGTGGTTGTGTAAAACAGGGAGTCAATTGAAACCAGTATTGTTCATGTTGTTTCGAACATGTGTGTGCTCATTTAGCATTATGGGGAAATTGTTATACTGTACATTAAATAACAAAATTAATTGAATAAAGACATGCCACTATGTTGGGGACGTGTTGATGACTTGCATCTAAATCACTTATGTTGGGTTTTTTTCAAAATACTTTGGTTGATGCAACAGAAGATACGATGACTCATTATAAACTGTGAAGATTTCTAATACAGGGAATTACTCAAACATCCGCTTTAAAGAGAAGACACAAACACTCCTGGTAATCCGGCCTGGTAATCCGGGAACATGGCCCAAGATATGCATTACAAAAAAGGGCAGGAGATGAATTTGTAAACTATATAATTAAGCAAGAAATATTTGTTTAACATTTAATCATTTTGTAATTTATGTTCTTTTCTCTTATTCCAATGTTATACACTCGGAGAGATTTACAGATATAAAGATTGTTCTCTGACTTCAAATGACCTAGTGGGTGACAATTCTAGGCTTTAAATGCGACTAACCCCATAGTTAAACTTGGCGGTAACAATTCTGTTGTAACACAATGCTTTGGAATTTCTAATGCGTAATAGAAATATCCCCATAGATCAAATCCAGTCACTTAAAGAAAAATCAACACAAGGTCTACAGATATGCTCAAACATTCAACATACGGTTGGGTTATTTCACAAGCAGGGGTTAATCATTTGTATGTTATGAGCAAAATTTGTTGCAGATATATGTTGCAATTTTTTTGTTTAGTTATTAATGATGTAACTTTCATCAATAATAAATACCATAAGTAACTATAAGGTATCAGCTATTTTTTAACCACGAAATCATAATTTTTATTTTAATATATGTTTACTTTATATGACTTTAC